GGATTCACCTGTAGGCCAATCAGGTTGCAGATTCACTTCCACCTGGAGCTGGATTGAGTGGCTCCTCTGGACCAATCAGACTGCTGCATTCTGGATCCTATTGTTCTAGGGCCAATCAGACTGCTGCATTCTGAATCCTATTGTTCTAGGACCAATCAGACTGCTGCATTTTGGATCCTATTCAACTCAGTACATAACAGACTCCATCTCCCATCAGCCTCAGTCAGCAGGGCTTATGACCTGGCATAGCAGGAGCTGTGGTCCAACAACAATCGGAGTGCCACAGGTTCTCAATTCACACTTCCCCTGCTAGTGCATCCCATTAAGGAAGTAGGAACAGCCTTGCTTGTTGTTGTTTAGTTGTTTAGTCGTGTCCGACTCTTCGTGACCCCATGGACCAGAGCACGCCAGGCACTCCTGTCTTCCACTGCCTCCCGCAGTTTGGTCAGACTCATGCTGGTAGCTTCGAGAACACTGTCCAACCATCTCACCCTCTGTTGTCCCCTTCTCCTTGTGCCCTCTATCTTTCCCAACATCAGGGTCTTTTCCAGGGTGTTCTCATGAGGTGGCCAAAGTATTGGAGCCTCAGCTTCAGGATCTGTTCTTCCAGTGAGCACTCAGGGCTGATTTCCTTAAGAATGGATGCGTTTGATCTTCTTGCAGTCCATGGGACTCTCAAGAGTCTCCTCCAGCACCATAATTCAAAAGCATCAATTCTTCGGCGATCAGCCTTCTTTATGGTCCAGCTCTCGCTTCCATACATTACTACCGGGAAAACCATGGCTTTAACTATACGGACCTTTGTTGGCAAGGTGATGTCTCTGCTTTTTAAGATGCTGTCTAGGTTTGCCATCGCCTTTCTCCCAAGGAGCAGGTGTCTTTTAATTTCGTGACTGCTGTCACCATCTGCAGTGATCATGGAGCCCAAGAAAGTAAAATCTCTCACTGCCTCCATTTCTTCCCCTTCTATTTGCCAGGAGGTGATGGGACCAGTGGCCATGATCTTCCTTTTTTTGATGTTGAGCTTCAGACCATATTTTGCGCTCTCCTCTTTCACCCTCATTAAAAGGTTCTTTAATTCCTCCTCACTTTCTGCCAACAAGGTTGTGTCATCTGCATATCTGAGGTTGTTGATATTTCTTCCGGCGATCTTAATTTCGGCTTGGGATTCATCCAGCCCAGCCTTTCGCATGATGAATTCTGTATATAAATTAAATAAGCAGGGAGACAGTATACAGCCTTGCCGTACTCCTTTCCCAATTTTGAACCAGTCAGTTGTTCCATATCCAGTTCTAACTGTAGCTTCTTGTCCCACATAGAGATTTCTCAGGAGACAGATGAGGTGATCAGGCACTCCCATTTCTTTAAGAACTTGCCATAGTTTGCTGTGGTCGACACAGTCAAAGGCTTTTGCATAGTCAATGAAGCAGAAGTAGATGTCTTTCTGGAACTCTCTAGCTTTCTCCATAATCCAGCGCATGTTTGCAATTTGGTCCCTGGTTCCTCTGCCCCTTCGAAATCCAGCTTGCACTTCTGGGAGTTCTCGGTCCACATACTGCTTAAGCCTGCCTTGTAGAATTTTAAGCGTAACCTTGCTAGCGTGTGAAATGAGTGCAATTGTGCAGTAGTTGGAGCATTCTTTGGCACTGCCCTTCTTTGGGATTGGGATGTAGACTGATCTTCTCCAATCTTCTGGCCACTGCTGAGTTTTCCAAATTTGCTGGCATATTGAGTGTAGCACCTTAACAGCATCATCGTTTAAAATTTTAAATAGTTCAGCTGGAATATCATCACTTCCACTGGCCTTGTTATTAGCAGTGCTTTCTAAGGCCCATTTGACTTCACTCTCCAGGATGTCTGGCTCAAGGTCAGCAACCACACTACCTGGGGTGTACGAGACATCCATATCTTTCTGGTATAATTCCTCTGTGTATTCTTGCCACCTCTTCTTGATGTCTTCTGCTTCTGTTAGGTCCTTTCCACTTTTGTCTTTTATTATGGTAATCTTTGTACGAAATGTTCCTTTCATATCTCCAATTTTCTTAAACAGATCTCTGGTTTTTCCCATTCTATTGTTTTCCTCTATTTCTTTGCATTGCTCGTTTAAGAAGGCCTTCTTGTCTCTCCTTGCTATATTTTGGAACTCTGCATTCAATTTCCTGTATCTTTCACTATCTCCCTCGCATTTTGCTTGCCTTCTCTCCCCCACTATTTGTAAGGCTTCGTTGGACAGCCACTTTGCTTTCTTGCATTTCCTTTTCATTGGGATGGTTTTAGTTGCTGCCTCCTGTATAAAGTTACGAGCCTCCATCCATAGTTCTTCAGGCACTCTGTCCACCAAATCTAAATCCTTAAACCTGTTCCTCACTTCCACTGTGTATTCATAAGGGATTTGACTTAGATTGTATCTTACCGGCCCAGTGGTTTTCCTACTTTCTTCAGTTTAAGCTTGAATTTTGCTATAAGAAGCTGATGATCTGAGCCACAGTCAGCTCCAGGTCTTGTTTTTGCTGACTGTATAGAGCTTCTCCATCTTTGGCTGCAGAGTATATAATCAATCTGATTTCGATGCTGCCCATCTGGTGATGTCCATGTGTAGATTCGTCTCTTGTGTTGCTGGAAAAGCGTGTTTGTGATGACCAGCTTGTTCTCTTGGCAGAACTCTATTAGCCTTTGCCCTGCTTCGTTTTGATCTCCAAGGCCAAACTTGCCAGTTGTTCCTTTTATCTCTTGACTCCCTACTTTAGCATTCCAATCCCCTATAATGAGAAGAACATCCTTCTTTGGTGTTATTTCTATAAGGTGTTGTAAGTCTTCATAGAATTGGTCAATTTCAGTTTCTTCAGCACCAGTGGTTGGTGCATAAACTTGGATTACTGTGATGTTAAAAGGTCTGCCTTGGATTCGTAACGAGATCATTCTATCATTTTTGAGATTGCATCCCATTACAGCCTTCGCCACTCTTTTGCTGACTATGAGAGCCAGTCCATTTCTTTTACGGGATTCTTGCCCACAGTAGTATATATGATGGTCATCCGATCTGAATTCGCCCATTCCCGTCCATTTTAGTTCACTGATGCCCAGGATGTCAATATTTATTCTTGCCATCTCATTTTTGACCACATCTAACTTAGTTCATGGTTCTTGCATTCCAGGTTCCTATGCAATATTTTTCTTTACAGCATTGGACTTTCCTTTCGCTTCCAGGCATATCCGCAACTGAGCATCCTTTCGGCTTTGGCCCAGCCGCTTCATCAGCTCTGAATCTACTTGTACTTTTCCTCCGCTCTTCCTCAGTAGCATGTTGGACGCCTTCCGACCTGAGGGGCTCATCTTCCAGTGTCACAACTTTTATATGCCTGTTACCTTTGTCCATGGAGTTTTCTTGGCAGGGATACTGGAGTGGCTTGCCGGTTCCTCCTCCAGGTGGATCACGTTTGGTCAACACTCTCCACTATGACCTGTCCATCTTGGGTGGCCCTGCACGGCATAGCTCATAGCTTCTCTGGGTTATTCAAGCCCCTTCGCCACGGCAAGGCAGTGATCCATGAAGGGGACAGCCTTGCTCGGATCAGTCCAAATGGAGAGCCACTTTGGGGCTTGAGGTTCCCCACCCCTGACTTCACCCAACACTTTTGCAAGATGCTTTTATGAATAATTCCTCCTAAAAAAGGAAACTAGGAATGAACAAGATGCATACCTGTTTCTTTAGGTACTTAGTCTTCTAATAGGCAGGTGGAGCTGGCACTGATTCAGGTGCAACATAATATTCATTCTGCATTTCTAAGAAATCAGTCTTTCAGTGTGGAAACACCCAGACTTTGGAACTCCCTGCCCATCAACCTCAGACAAGCGCCATCGCTTTACTCTTTTCAACACCTGCTAAAAACATTTTTATTTAAGCAAACCTATCTAGACGTATCTAGACGTATAGAACATTGACCTGTGTTTTAATCTGGCTTTTAGCTTATAGTTGCTTTTAATTATCTTTGAATGTTTGAAATAGTTAACTGTTTTTTACCCTCCAGTAGGGTTGCCATGTTCCCAAAAATGAAAATCCAGACAAAGTTGTTGAGCTTTTTTTTTGGGGGGGGGGGTTAACAAGCTCGTTCCCTGTTCCATGACTACCATATCTTCTCCCAGGCTCTTCTTTTCAAGGCTAAACATACCCAGCTCCTTCAACTCCTCATAAGGCCTGGTTTCCGGACCCTTGATAATTTTGGTCACCCTTCTCGGCACACGTTCCAGCTTGTCAACATCCTTCTTACATTGTGGTGCCCAGAACTGGACACAGTACGGTATTCCAGGTGTGGTCTAATCAAGGTAGAATAAAGGTAAAGGGACCCCTGATCATTAGGTCCAGTTGTGGCCAACTCTGGGGTTGTGGCGCTCATCTTGCTTTATTGGCCGAGGGAGCCGGCGTACGGCTTCCGGGTCATGTGGCCAGCAGGACTAAGCCGCTTCTGGCGAACCAGAGCAGCGCACAGAAACGCCGTTTAGCTTCCCGCCGGAGCGGTACCTATTTATCTACTTGTACTTTGATATGCTTTCAAACTGCTAGGTTGGCAGGAGCAGGGACCGAGCAACGGGAGCTCACCCCGTCGCGGGGATTCGAACTGCTGACCTTCTGATCAGCAAGACCTAGGCTCTGTGGTTTAACCCACAGCGCCACCCGCGTCCCAACCAAGGTAGAATAGAGTGGTACTATTACTTTCACTAAACCTCTGTTGGTGCAGCCTAGAATAGCATTCGCTTTTTTTGCTGCTGCGTCACACTGCTGGCAGTTTCCTCTGTTCCTATATCAAGTTTTGTCTTGGATGTTTCTCTGGGGACGGGCCATAGGTCAGTGGTCGAGCATCTGGTTTGCATGCAGGCTATCCCAGCTTCAATCCCTGACATCTACATGCAGGAGCATCAGTGCCAGTTTAGTGTAGGCAATACCAAGGCAGACGGATCAATGGTGTAACTCAGTTTAAGGCAGCTTCATATTCAGAGATGGGCCATAGCTCAGTGGTAGAGCATCTGCTTTGGATACACAAGGTCCCAGGTTCAATCCCAGGCATATCGAGGGAGAGCGCAGAAGAGAATTTCAGAAGCAGCATGTTATGTACTGAGTTGAATAGGATCCAAAAGGCAGCAGTCTGATTGGTCCTAGAACAATAGGATTCAGAATGCAGCAGTCTGATTGGTCCTAGAACAATAGGGTCCAGAATGCAGCAGTCTGATTGGTCCACAGGAGCCACCCAATCCAGCTCCAGGTGGAAGTGACTCCACAACCTGATTGGCCTACAGGTGAATCCCAGAATTAGCCAATCACATGGGGCCCCTTGTGTAAATAATGTAAGTAAAGCAGACATTCTGGGGGAACTTCCATTCCTCCTCACCACTATGAGCTGAATAAAGAGCATGAAATCCACTCTCGACTCCGAATATATTTCACATCACCTGCAAGACAAGGTGGCAATTGAGCAAGAAGGTCTGGCTGAAATTCTTCACCTTGAATTGAGGGTGAACATGAAGAAGGATCATCTGAATTCTCTCCAGGCAGAGGACCAGTACTTTCTTGAAGCAGTGGCACAGCTTCTTTCTTAGGAGAAGGGCTGTAGCCAGCGGTGCCAGCTTGAATAAAATAGGGGGGCAGGTAAGCCCCGTCCCACATAATCGATCGCATGATGGGGGTGCATCCACACCATTTGAATGGCAATGGCCATCAACTTGGGGGTGTCCCCATCAAATATTTTATTGGGAGGCCAAAGGGAGCTTGGCCCCTAGGAGTTGGCTCCTATGGCTGTAGCACTGTGGCAGATCATCTGCTTGGCATGCAGAAGGTTGGAGCTGGTGAGCCAGATGAACCAATGGGCTCAGTAAAAGGCAGCCTCCTGTGTTCCTAGGGACAGCAGAACGAACCACAGCTGAGTTATCTCCCATCACACAAAGGAAGAGTCTTCTCCGGCTTTGGAGCTGATGATCCTCCTTAATTTCCCTGCTTCCTTGCATGGTGAAAAGTTCAAGCCAGGCTCTCCTGGGAGCCTCTCTAGATGACACCCCATAAATGTAAAGCTCTGTCTGTGAAAGTTGATTCTACCAGTCCCGAGCAAGCGTTTGGAGAAGGAAGACGCCCATGGAAGGGCCAAGAAGTTGAAACATCGCCGGGTCTGCCTCCAAAGAACCTCTGGCTCTCGTCCACGGCATTTTCACAGGGCTTAGGCTGAAAAAAGAGAAATCGATGTAACACTTTTATCTCATTAAAAGCCTGCCTTCCCCTAAGCCGCGGAATGAGAGCCCTGAGCAAATGGGCAAAGGCTTGTTATTCTGAGCCGGGCATAGCACTGGGGAAGAAGAATTTGCACACAGGTGGGGGCTGGAATCCAAGAGATTGGGGGGGGTGGCAGAGGGGAACGGGTCATAGGCAAAGAACAAGGCGGGGTAATCTTACACCTGGCAGAGGATTTGAGGAGAACTAAACCCACACAGCCCTACGGCAAGTCGGAGCGACGTTGGAAATATCAGCCCAAATTCGTGCAGTCGTCAGAGTTATGGGGCAGAGGGCGATTTACGAGCCGTGCCCAGCAATTATTACCAGCAGAGTTCAAGGGGGCAGTTTTGGTCAAGGGTGTTGATTCCCTACTTAGAGGGGACCATTTTTCGCCTTGTAGCACAACAGGGGAGGGGAAGAAGTGTACTGGGGGTAGGATTGGCGGAGGGAGGTGATCAGAGCACAAAGAACAATGACTCCAGCTGCTTTTCACACACAAGAGAAACACCAGAAGCACATTGTGTGTGTCTGTGTGAGTTTCCAGATTCCATATTGCAGTGTCTCTGGCTGTGACCCTCTGCTCTGAGTTTCAAGGTGGTTATTTATTTACTTTGATGCATTCAAATCTTCATAGGTGTCCCACTCATATAAATATCAAAAAAAGGGGTGGTGGAACACTGCACAGGAAAATATGCAGGGCAAAATTACCGTATTTTTCGCTCTATAAGACGCACCAGACCACAAGATGCACCTAGTTTTTGGAGGAGGAAAACAAGAAAAAAAATAATCTGTATCTCAGAAGCCAGAACAGCAAGAGGGATCGCTGCGCAGTGAAAGCAACAATCCCTCTTGCTGTTCTGGCTTCTGTGATAACTGCGCAGCCTGCATTCGCTCCATAAGACGCACACACATTTCCCCTTACTTTTTAGGAGGGAAAAAGTGAGTCTTATAGAGCAAAAAATACTGTATTATTTTTTAAACTGATCTTACAAAATGGCTCTCTCACCTCAAGTTAAAACTATCGAGCAAAATCAATTAGTATTTATTAATTCCAATGGGTTTACTCTGAGCAGGACAAGAATTTGCTACAATCCAATATCCATATTCTAATTATAGAAATACAATGCATCTCATTGCAGCGAGAGCTACTGTACTCAGGTGACCTGGCTGCCTGTCCAGTCTGCCGACCAAGTATGTACTGTTGACTGGCAACTGCATACAATCTCATATTGTATGGTTCTTTATCTTGAAACTGGGATTAGATCGGACACGCCTTCAAAAGGGGATGCCTTCAAGGAAAGGATTGCTCTCTGTAAAACAGTGCACATGGCCAGCCCCGCCAGGGCCTCTGGAGCTACCACTAAGAAGGCCCTACTCCCTGTGGAGGCCACTCTCATTTCTCCCCAAAAAAATTGAGCTTGAAGGAGAACCTTATTGGCTAATATCAAGCTTCAGGTAGGTTCATAGCAGAATGAAGAGTTTTGGGGTGTGTATGTGAAATTTTTGAAATTTAACAAAATATAATAAGCTAGAAGCTTCACTCGGGGCAGCAAAGAAAGTGGTATTAGGAAGAGGTGAACCATATGAACAGAAGAAGATCATATGCTGGATCAGACCAATGGCCCACCTAGTTCAGCGAGCAAGACCTGAACACAAGAGCCCTTTCCCCTCTTGTGGCCTCCAGCAACTGGTGTTCACAAGCATACACCCTCTGACCAACCATGGGCAGACATCTCGCCTGCCTCACTTCACGAGGGAGACTCAGAAGGCCCACCATTCCTTCCACTGCCTGCTCTATCGGACGACCCACAAGCCCGGCCGTTTTCTGCAAGCCCCACCAGTCTCCTCCAGGCCTTCTGTCAGCAGTTCACTAAGTCACTCCTTGCCTTCAGCACTCTGACAACTTCATCTCCTACTTGGCTTTCTCACACCCACTTCACCGAGAGAGACGATTCCCAGTAAAAATATTTAAACAGCTCCTTCTGAAAACACCAGGAGATTAATATCTGGCACGTGCGTGGCTCAGTCAAGACATCTCTGCAGGGGGAGGGAGCTGGTGAGGTTGGGGACGGGGAGGTCCTAAATATTGCATCCCACCTTGAGAATAGACTAGCACCTCTTTGGGATACTTGATGAGAGTTCTCATCATGTCTGCCCATTACCATGGTTTCTACCTGTCTGCAACACTGAGGAACCCAATTGACGTATTTCTGGCAGAAACCCTTCCCTCAGTCAAATAAGGTCTTTCCCCCCCTATCTTTTAGTGCTCAAGGTGAGTCCCTTCTTCCTGCACCATCACATCGTCAGAGGGAATGGAGCACTTTCCGGGAAACCTGTAAAAGCAAGTTTAAGAAACAGTGCGTGGAGCAACAATTAAAATTTAGGGTTACCCTTGCCCACAGAGCATCTCCGGCTAAGATTCCCTTGCAGAAAAATCCAAATGGATCTTCTCTTTGGATTGGCCAAATCTGGGAGGCTGTTGAGTTTGGGGATTTAGGAAGTGGGATCTGCAACAAATTGTTGCAGTGTGTCCTCTCTCACACAACCTTCCAAAGGTAAAAGGTAAAGGACCCCTGGGCGGTTCAAAGGTGACTGTGGGGTTGCGGCGCTCAGCTCGCTTTCAGGCCGAGGGAGCCGGGGTTTGTCCACAGACAGATGTGGCGCAATGGGACACCGTGATGGAAGCCAGAGCGCACGGAAATGCCGTTTACCTTCCCACCACAGCTGTACCTATTTATCTACTTGTACTGGCATGCTTTCGAACTGCTAGGTTGGCAGGAGCGGGGACAGAGCGGGAACAGAGTAACAGGAGCTCACCCTGTTGTGGGGATTCGAACCACTGACCTACCGAATAGCAAGCACAAGAGGCTCCGTGGTTTAGACCACAGCGCCACCCGTGTCCCTACAACCTTCCAGGACTGCACCTGTCTGGTGTTTCAGGTGATCAGAAGGCTGTGCCATCCTGTAAAGGGTTTGAGCAGTTCGATTCACTCCAGGTCAAGGGATGGAGACTTCAGAAATGTAATTAATGTGTATTTATCAAGAAGCATATTGGGACGCGGGTGGCGCTGTGGGTTAAACCACAGAGCCTAGGACTTGCCATTCAGAAGGTCAGCGGTTCGAATTCCCGTGACGGGATGAGCTCCTGTTGCTCGGTCCCTGTTCCTGCCAACCTAGCAGTTCGAAAGCACGTCAAAGTGCAAATAGATAAATAGGTACCGCTCCAGCGGGAAGGTAAACGGCCTTTCCATGCGCTGCTGTGGTTTGCCAGAAGCGACTTAGTCATGCTGGCCACATGACCCGGAAGCTGTACGCTGGCTCCCTCGGCCAATAAAGCGAGATGAGCGCCGCAACCCCAGAGTCGGCCACGACTGGACCTAATGGTCAGGGGTCCCTTTACCTTTATCAAGAAGCAAGGGTGAACTCCATCAGCTCCGTAGTTCTTGCTACATTACAAGCGTTATTGCAATCCTGCTAGTGTTTTCATCTGCTTACAGTGGTCTTCAAGATAAATTACAAATCCCACCCCTCTTTGTTTGTTAAAGTTTTGGTCTTCCTGGTTCCTGAGCTTTCCGGTCAATTTAGCCATTTCAGCATAGCCATCGATTTAATTTGCCATTCTTCTCTGGTAGGGACTTTATCTTCTTTCCAAGTGGAGAGCCATCTTAGTCATCCTTGCTGGCAGCTTTTCACACAGCACAAATCCCTAAGTGCCACTGGTACCAGATCCTTTTGCAAAGCAGGAGAAGCCATAAAATCTAATATGAAACCTTAGTCCTCGCTTCAGCTGTTGGTGGCTCTAATGGAAAGAGCCTCGTGTCTTAATTATAGCAGGCCTGCCTACCCATTACAGGGGTTGATCCTTTGGGGGTGTGGGAGAATGAGAACATCCAGAGTTGAGCCTGGCAGCTGAGCAATAAAGTGAGTGAGTTGCGGTGGAAAGATTGGACAACCGCAACCACAAAAGGCACACCTGTATGAAACAGGAATGGTTGCAAGTGTGGCAAGTGCAGGTGTGTCTGTGGGAGCCCATTCGCAGGATGTGGCTCCTTTTCCAAAGGAGCACATCCTGCAAACGATTTGGTGACACAAGCAAGACCTGCGACAAAGGTTTGCAGCATGAAGGGTCCTTATTAAGGGGTGACAGGGATGGTGCCAAATCCAGTCACCCCCTGCCCCCATATCTGAAAACAGCACATCAGAACATGAGCAAATGACACCGTGCAAGAATAAAAAACACACACAGGCCGCAGGATTCTTCAGTACAGTCATACCTCATGTTACGTTTGCTTCAGGTTGAGCATTTTCAGGTTGCGTCCCGTGGTGACCCGGAAGTATCGGAAAGGGTTACTTCCGGGTTTTGCCGCTCGCGCATGCGCAGAGGTGCAAAATGACATTACGTGCATGCGCAGAAGCAGCAAATCACAACCCGCGCACGCGCAGATGCAGGTTGCGTTCTTTTCAGGTTGCGAATGGGCCTCCAGAATGGATCCCGTTCACAACCAGAGGTACCACTGTACAGTCGTACCTTGGTTCTCAAATTCAATTCGTTCTGGGAGTCTGTTTGACTCCCGAAATGGTTTGAAAACCAAGGCACGGCTTCTGATTGGCTGTGGGAACTTCCTGCACTCAAGCGGAAGCCGTGGAAGCCATGTCAGACGTTCGGCTTCCAAAAAACATTTGCAAACCGGAATACTTACTTCGGGAGCCGATTTGTTCAACAACTAAGGCATTTGACTACCAAGGTACCACTGTAGTAGTTTTACTGAGGCCTTAAAGCATGCAGAAACGTACTGGCTCCACATTAAGACACACAAAAAAATCACTTTGCTCAGAGAGCATGTCCAGTTACAAATGCCAAAAACAAACAGTATATGCAGAAACAAAAGAAAAAAACAGAATGAAGAGAAACTGCCCAGCAGGCAGGAGTATTCAGTGGTACCTCGGGTTACATACGCTTCAGGTTACAGACTCCGCTAGCCCAGAAATAGTTCCCCGGGTTAAGAACTTTGCTTCAGGGTGAGAACAGAAATAGTGCGGCAGCAGCGGGAGGCCCCATTAGCTAAAGTGGTGCTTCAGGTTAAGAACAGTTTCAGGTTAAGAACGGACCTCCGGAACGAATTAAGTACTTAACTCGAGGTACCACTGTATATCCCCCACTGAGGCAGTGACCTCGAGTCTTACATGACTAGATAAAGGCCAGCTGCAGGCTTGTTCTGTTGTGAACACGCTAGAAAGTTCAGGAAGGTTCTAGTAGATTCTAGTGAATTCTAAGACTTCCATGCCTGCCACAGAGTTCTAGCCAACCAGGCTGCGTTCCAGGATATTCCATACCATTACCTCCCTGGTTTTTCACAAGAAGTACCTGGCTGCTGGATCAGGCCAAAGGCCCATCAAGACCAGAATCCTTTTCTCACAGCGGCCAGCCAGTTGCCCATGAGAAGCCCACAATAGCACTCTCCCCACCTGTGATTCTTTTTTTTTTTTTAAGAATATATCTTTATTGATTTACAATACTATCATACAAATACATTACAAATAATTACAACAAAATTTCCCACGAAAATGAAAAAGGAATAACAAGGACAAAAATAAAAAGCAAAGAAGAGTTAACATTAAAATAAAAGAATATCGGTTGTATTATCATATCTTGACCAATAAAGTCTTCTAGAACAAAAACTTCCAATCATTCTCGTTGTACTTTTTCTAATATCTTGGTTTTATCACACAGTTTATTTAATAGCTTTTTCTGCATATTCTTCTAAGATATTTTTTCCAATTATTTATTATACACAAGTATCATTCAATTCTGCAAGGATAGTTCCATTTTTACAGTGTGATCTTATATACTCCTTGAATAATATCCATTCTTTATATACTTTTTGATTTAGGGCTCCCCTAACTTTTCCAGTCAGCTTTGCTAAGTGAACATGGGATGCGGGTGGCGCTGTGGGTTAACCCACAGAGCCTAGGACTTGCTGATCAGAAGGTCGGCGGTTCGAATCCCCGTGACGGGGTGAGTTCCCGTTGCTTGGTCCCTGCTCCTGCCAACCTAGCAGTTCAAAAGCACGTCAAAGTGCAAGTAGATAAATAGGTACCACTCCGGCGGGAAGGTAAATGGCGTTTCCGTGTGCTGCTCTGGTTCGCCAGAAGCGGCTTAGTCATGCTGGCCACATGACCCGGAAGCTGTACGCTGGCTCCCTCGGCCAATAAAGTGAGATGAGCGCCGCAATCCCAGAGTCAGCCACGACTGGACCTAATGGTCAGGGGTCCCTTTACCCTTTACCTTTACCTTGCTAAGTGAAAATGCTCTACCATGAGTGTTTGCCAGTCTATTATTGTTGGTATTGTTTCACATTTCCAACTTCTGGCTACAAGTATTCTTGCAGCCGTGACTGAGTACATAAACAGTGGTCTTGTATTTTGCTTTATTTCTGTTAGTAATATTCCTAGAAGGAAAATCTCCTGTGATTCCTAGCAACTTGCATCCAGAGCCATGTTGCCTCTGACAGTGGAGGTAGAACAATAGCCATTGTGGCTGGTAAACATTGTTAACCCTGTCCTCTGTGAAATTGCCTGCACCTCTTTTAAGTCATCCATGTTGGTTTCCATCCATCACCACAATCTTCAAGAGACTGTTTGAGCTTTCATCGTGTGGTGGCTGCCTGTGGTTAGGATATGTTTCTGTGCTGGTGCCTTAGGGCGTTTGATGCTACAAGTGTTTGGAATATTTCCATTCTGTTTTTCTTCCTTTTGATTTGTGTACATTCTGTTTGTTTGTTTGTTTGTTTGTTTGTTTGTTTAAAAAATTTTATTGAAAAATTTTAACAACCAGATTATCAATCAATCAATCAATCAATCAATCAATCCATATATCCATTTACATTCCGCCCCTTTTTAAACTTCTCTACATTCCCACCACATATGATAAAGAGTACCTTCTTTTTCTTTACATTTCCAACATATGTTTTACCCGGTTTTATACATTTTTGCTATTTGTACTGGTGTGATATACCATCTATACATTATTTCCACATAGTTTTCTTTCAGCAGAGAGCAGTCAGTAATTTTCATATCTACCTTCCACAACTTTTCCCAGTCCTCAAACTGTATATTGTGTCCTATATCTTGTGCCCATTTAATAATAACTGATTTGATCTTTTGTTTTCCATTCTAGCAGAATACTGTATGCTTTCTTCAGCAGCCTCACTTCTTCTTCTATAACTTCCTTTTGAAATCTAGAAATTATATAGCTAAACCCTTTCTTGTTGTCTTCCTTATACATCTCATGTAATTGCCTATAATGCAACTGAAATATACTCGGAGTCGAGAGTGGATTTCATGCTCTTTATTCAGCTCATAGTAGTGAGGAATGGAAGTTTCCCCGAACTGTCTGCTTTATATACATTATTTACACAATGGGCCCCACCTGATTGGCTAATTCCGGGATTCTCCTGTAGGCCAATCAAGTTGTGGATTCACTTCCGCCTGGAGTTGGATTGGGTGGTTCCTGCAGACCAATCAGACGGCTGCATTCTGGATCCTATTGTTTTAAGACCAATCAGACTGCTGCATTATGAATCCTATTGTTCTAGGACCAATCAGACTGCTGCATTCTGAATCCTATTGTTCTAGGACCTATCAGACTGCTGCAATTTGGATCCTATTCAACTCAGTACATAACAGCAACCATTCTGTTTTAATAGAGTAGTGGGCATGGCTGGAGCAGCGTTCTGATAATGTGCTGGCAGATCTCTAAGTGATGTGCCATAGATCGCAATAACAACCCGCTGCACCCTGAGATTATACTGCTGGCTTGTGGAAGAGACCTGGAATGGGTTTTTGTATTGAGAACCGCTCAGGGGGCTGGCTGTGGCTGAGTGGTAGAACCAGGGACGCACAACCATTAGGTGGTGTGAGGCTGTTGCCACAGGTGGCAAAAGCTCCCAAGGCGGTGCCCACATGGGTGCCCTGCTTGCCCAACTGCCTCAGTTGCTGGTGGAGAAGCGGTGCCAACATCTGCATCAATTTCATGCAAGACCTCTCCGAATCTGGGCGAGGTCTCACCTGAAATCACATGAAGATCTTGCGCAGCGTGAGAGATTTTGCCTGAGATCAGCAAGATCTCACCCAAAATTGGCACCAATCCCAGAGATGCTGCTCCACTGGCAGTGGGGCAGGCAGTGCAGCAAAGCAGGACGTGGCACCCCTGGGAAGAACACCTGCTTTGCAGGTAGAGGGTCCCAGTTTCAGCCCACAAAATCTCCAGGTGCAGATGGGAGGGGCTCTGTGCCTAAAACCCTGGAGCAGGCATCCCCAACCTTCGGCCCTCTAGATGTTTTGGACTACAATTCCCATCATCCCTGACCACTGGTCCTGTTAGCTAGGGATCATGGGAGTTGTAGGCCAAAACATCTGGGGGGCCGCAGGTTGGGGGGCCTGCCCTGAAGCATCATTGCCAGTCAATGTACAGTGGTACCTCTGGTTACCACTGCCAACCTAGCAGTTCGAAAGCACGTCAAAGTGCAAGTACATAAATAGGTACCGCTCCGGCGGGAAGGTAAACGGCGTTTCCATGTGCTGCTCTGGTTCGCCAGAAGTGGCTTAGGCATGCTGGCCACATGACCCGGAAGCTGTACACCGGCTCCCTTGGCCAATAAAGCGAGATGAGCACCGCAACCCCAGAGTCAGCCACGACTGGACCTAATGGTCAGGGGTCCCTTTACCTTTACCTTTACCTTTACCTTTACCTCGGTTTAAGAACTTAATTCGTTCCAGAGGTCTGTTCTTAACCTGAAACTGTTCTTAACCTGAGGTACCACTTTAGCTAATGGGGCCTCCCACTGCCGCCGGTGCGATTTCTGTTCTCATCCTGAGGTAAAGTTCTTAACCCGAGGTACTACTTCAGGGTTAGCGGAGTCTATAACCTAAAGCGTTTGTAACCCGAGGTACCACTGTACACAATACTGAGCTAGATGAATCAATGGTGTAGCTTAATATAAAGCTGCTTCTTCTTTTCCATTTATCTTCCATTGTGGACAATAGATGGTTATGCATTTTTCTGAAGAAGAAAAATCTTTTCTCTGGTAGGAGAATGTAAAAATAAAACATGGTTCCTCAGAGCATCCAGCCTTCTTCTCTAGGTGGGTATAGAATCTCCTTCACTTGTCTGTGTTGTGCAGCTGTAAAGGATGAGATGAAATCCGTGCATTTCAGACACTGGCGGACGATTTGATTTGATCCCATCCAAAAAAAGTCAATGGGCCGGATCGGTCAAAATATTGACGCCGCTGAACTGCGTCAACTGCCTTCTCCAGAAAGCCGTGCCTGCCTGTGCGTGTTTTCTGCAGAGAAAAGCTCAGATAATCAGCAAACCAGTTGCTTAAGTCCCTCATTTCACAAATACAATACAGAATGAGTCCCTCGGCGCTGGAAGGCTGCAGAGGTTAAACACTTAGTTCCGGTACATAAAGTTTATATTCAGTCACATACAGAGGGAGGGAGGGAGAGAAGAACACCCATCAACCTAATCTATATTCTGCTTACGTTCAGGAGGCAAACTAGGGACTGACAGAACAGCAGTAATGTTGACTTAGGCCACATTCACCCCATACATTTAAAGCGTTATGATGGCACTTTGAACAGCCATGGCTCTCTCCCCCTCCCAAAGAATTCTGGGAGCTGTAGTTTGTTAAGGGTGCTGAGAGTTGTTAGGAAACTCCTATTCCCCTCAGAATGCTGCAATGCCTGGAGTTCCCCATGAAGAAGGATAGGTTGTTAAACTACTCCAAAAAGGGGATTAGACAATTTCATGGAGAACGAGGCTATCAACAGCTACAAGCCACAATGGCTACGGTCTACCACCAATGTCCGAAGCAGTTGTTGGGAATCTCAAGTGGGAAGAGGGCCATTGCTCTCAGGTCTTGCCTGCAGGCTTCCCATGGGCATCAGGTTGGCCACTGTGAGGTGATGATGATGATGATATATTTATTATTTATACCCGCCACTCTGGACGGCTTCCAGCAAAATCTTCTTGTTGTTGTTTAGTAGTTTAGTCATGTCTGACTCTTCGTGACCCCATGGACCAGAGCACGCCAGGCACTCCTGTCTTCCACTGCCTCCCGCAGTTTGGTCAGACTCATGCTGGTAGCTTCAAGAACACTGTCCAACCATCTTGTCCTCTGTCGTTCCCTTCTCCTTGTGCCCTCCCTCTTTCCCAAC